TTCAGCAGCTGGAGAAACACTGTGAAATGGTGGTCAGCTCCTTGGTAACCATCATTACCTTTTGTATGGTGGTGGTATTGGCAGTGCAACGATTCTTCTGTATCTGGAGAACTTGTGAAACCCCAATCAGCATGCCATTCTTTGTCTCAAGAAATTTTCCATCCAAAGGAATATTATTGACGAACTTCTGCAAAGGAGAAGAAAATGTCTGAGACAATAACCTTCAACTCCTTTTGCATGAATTGCTTAACAGCTGTCAGACAGTCACAGTAAGCAAACTTGTAAGGGTGTGCAAAACAGAAATGGGCGTATCCAGCCACCAGCCTTAGAAAGTGATACGTCAAGCCAGATTCTCAAATGGCAGAACAGTCTTCTTTCCTTACCTGGGTGCTGTTTTGATAAAACATTAGCCAGTAGGAGAGCCCTAACATGCTGTTCTTATGAATTCCACTTCTCAAGTCCGCGGGCAAGAGCTTCTCTCCCAGTACAATGTGGTACTGCACTGTCTCATTGTCCTAAATCCACAAAGAAACCAAATGTTAGGACTGTTTTGGCTTCCTAGACTACAATTCAGTCAAAGGTATGGCATAAGAAGAGTTCTTAAGCATCTGTAATGGTTAATTAAGCCCACAGAGCCTAGTAACTCCCTGTCACAGATGACTGATCACATCTGATGACTCTGTTACTGGATGAAGCTGTAAATGTTTTTTGGAACTTTTCAAAAGGTTGAAAATTGCCACAGATATGCCACAGCCAGCCAGGAGAGGGAACATGTTGTGCCACCTATCCACATACAAATCTACTCAGAAATTTGCATTTGGAGTCCAAATACTCTTCTCAGATTCCATTGCAACACCCCAGGAAACCCCCTCATTTCTCTCTGCCACATTTCTCCCAGTTTTTAGCATCAGATATGCTTCTCCTCTCCATGCTCAAATCGACTGAACTCAAGTTCATGATCTGACAGTGTACATGTCCCTGCACTTATTGCAATATATATTCAAACTGTAAGCAAGCAGTAAGCTTACCAACTGTGTCACATTGGCAGCATGGCAGTACTCCTCAATGGAATTATTTCCAGGAACAAAAATTGTATATTTTTCAGAGGACTCTATTTTTCCAATGAGCTGGTATTGCTAAAAAATGTCCAAACAGTAACATTAGCAATTACACTTGTACTCACTAAAAACTAAACCACACAAGAAATCAATTACAAAGGCAAGAGCGCCAGAGGAAATGCTTGAAAACGAGATGTACAACTTCTACTCAGTAACACATGTCTAATTGCTTGCTCCTCCTCCTGGGCTGACATAAGCACAGCTTCTCGATTATGAACAAGCCTTCCTTCCTTTTCCTCGAGGCTTCTCTGCCCTGTACAAGCATGAGAGCGCCTGTGGTAGACAGGTCGTCTTCCACTGTAATAACATGCCAATGATACAGAGATCTAACTGTAAGTATATAACTCTTTGGCTGCTCAAAAGAGCTTTCTTAGAAGATCCCTCACGAATGGTAGGAAACAGGTGGTCTCTCTTTTCTCACCAGGCAGTCCAAATTTTGGTCCACCAGTACAAGGTAAGGTGAGCATTCGCTCAAAAGACAGTTCTGACAACCACAACAGTGCTCACCTCAACTGCTTACCTGTAGCAACTCCTTGAATGTGCTGAATGAGCCAACTGTCTCGAGCTGTTTCTGCAGACCTGGAGGACTTGGTGGGATATTTCCTGAAGGCGGCAACAAAACCTGTGGAAAAAGCGAGTTCATAAGCAAGGTTAAGCAAGGGGCTCTGGGGGAAATCACGCTAGACTCCCACCCTGCTTGCAAGAAACGCAATTAGAAAAGGCCTCATTTTACACAATTCTGCAATAGCCTTAACTCTTCTTCTGTCAGCCAAGAGAAGAGGAACTCCCCTCCCGCTTGTCCTGGAGACAAATATGTCAAACGCTAAACACTGCTACACAGGAAACATCTGTCAGGACCTTGTGATAACCAAATATATTTTTGCCATTATATTCCTTCCTAACCATCCAGACATGTATTCCTCCTTGGCCTCATCACAGATGCTGCAACAAAACCTGCTGCTACAACTGCAGCATTTCCCAGTATTGCATGAACCGCTGTACCTTACTGATGACATGAATAATGCCATTGCTGGCAGGGATGTCGCTGACAACTATACTCGCGTTCTGGATGGTCAATACCTGCGAAAGTATCAGAGAGAGAAGTAAAAGGATTAGAAATTGCCAAGCAAGTTCAAAACAAATATATTGTTCGTTCAAGGTTGCACATGATTGATGTGGCTATAATTTTTGAAAGATGTCTGAGTTTGAGGGCATCAGCATCCCATCGAGTCTCCCCACTGGACACAGCAGCTCCTGAGCAGTTTAATTTGATATCGGTACATGTGTGTTACATAAGAAACCCTTACGTCGCTCCTGGTGTTTATCTGCCATCTGGTCTGTGGGTTGAGGGTGAGTAATTCTGGCCTGTCGTACTTTTTGAGCTTTTCACCAGTAAAGACACCTTCAAGAAAGTGGGACCTGAGGGGAACAAAGGCAGGTGAAGAAAAGATTAGGGCACTGTTTGTAGTAACAGGGAGGTAAGATCATACCACCCAACATTCACGCCTCTTGCATGAAGTAGTTAAGCACATGGAGAGTATGATGGAGGGAATTACTTCTGACGCTGTCTGCATCTACATGACAGGGAGAGTCTCTCTGTGCAAATATATGAAAAATAAACCCACTTGTCTGTGGTCTGTTATGTTTTAAATGCCTACTAAATTCTTTGCCTGCTAGATATTTAATCTTGCTTCTGTTATTTATCTCAAGATAACTATTGGTCTTGTACACGCAGAAATCCAGTTCATGGCTTTGTTACTGTTGTTTGGCACAGTAAAGTAAAGGCAGGAGTTCCCCCATACCTGACTAAAAATGGCAGCATGTAGGGTGTCAACCAGAAATCTTCCTCAGTCTTGCTCAAGTTTTTGATAGCTGCCTCCGATGGCACCAGGACAGTGACATTGATTTGTTCTGGGATGCTGAAGAGAGATTTCTGTTGTCCAAAGCACAAAAATTAACAAATAAGACATGCCACTGCCACATCTATACCTCAAAATACAACCCACAGCCATCCCACTCTTGCAGTCACGTGGAAGGGATGTGTGGAAAGACAGCATATGCTCAGCAGCACAGCAAGCTCTCCTGGGCATGGCAGGTAAGTGCTCTTGGCCATCAATGAATGCCACAGGTGGTTTAGCCAATACAGCTGACACTTGTTTGCCAAGGGAAAACCTGCTGCTTTAAGCCCTACTTTTGTACTTCAATTAATCTTCAAACCCATTCAATCATATCCATAAATCCTTTCTGAACCCTCAACATCAGTTTTGGGGGAGGCACCAAGATCATTTCTGGCAAAAGCGATGTATGCAGCAGGACAGGTAAGCTAAAGCTCAATTAGATGCCGTACATCATGGCATGCTTTCACAGGCTTGCTGCAGTCTCTGTTATTGCCACACTGGAGACAGGGAAGCAGTTACAAAAAAAGGAACAAACATACAGTCTAACTTCTCAAACCATGTTTTTCTGAAAAATAGCTATTATACCCCTTTTTCTTTCCCTTCTGTGCTATTTTATGACAACCAGGAGTTGCAGATGATACAACCATGAAAATTAAGTGTAGCACAGCCCCAGCTTCCTCCTGTGCTAGAAACCAGGCCCCCAAAACACACTCATGACCCTCACTCTGTCACAAACTCCAGAGCTTTTCTACACACCTGCTCTGTAATGATTTCTCCTTCGTTGTTGTTTTGTTTTTCTCTAATGAAAAACACAAATGGAGCTGCTTTTCCTCTAACAGCAGCATTCACAGAGACTTCACTTTTACAGAACTTACGCGTGCGGGTATCCCACGGCTGTTCTTACCTTAACCCAGTCATAGAAGCCTGCGAAGTGGGAATTCCTGGCCAGCTCCTTCCAAACAGAAACAACAGAAGGGTTATCCCTGCTGAGCATCGAGGTTGTGGGGCTGGGGGACCCAGGGTGGGGGAAAGGAGCCCTTTGCAATATCAAATCTGGCAGCAATGACTCAGACATTCCTCTCACCTCACAACTATTACAGGCACCATGTATCATAGGGAGGGATGGGCACTCCTAAATCCGAACTTCAGCCATTAAAACAAACATATTCCCAAATAAACAAACTCTTTTCAGCTCATTTGCAACTGCTCATGTTTACCAGGGATTGAACCCACAATGGCCTTTGATATTTCTAATGACAGAAAATGGGCCTAGCAGCTTTGACCTGAAAAACTTTCCGAACAACAAAGAAAAGATGACTTATTGCACAGACAGACAGGCATGAAGTAGCTTAGAAATTATGGCCAACAGTTTCATTGGCAATTCAATGGCCTTGGCATCAGTTCTGTCTCTATGGCCTTGGGACACACTTGTGCTGTCAGGCTGGTGCTGGGAGGAGGAGTCAACTCAGGTATCAAAGAAAAGGAAAGCGAGAGCAGAGCCATTTCTCTCCAGTCTCAAGAAGACCTCAGACATATGCTTGTTACTCACTTTTAGAATGTCCCCGTAGCACGTCATGCCATCCCCAATGTAGCCTTGAGGGCAAGCGCAGGATCTCTCTCCTCCGCCAAGGGGTACACACATAGCCTGCAAATCCAATGAAAGGAGAAATTAGAGAGCAAACACAGGTTATGCAGTGTTACACCTTCTAGGAATTGAATTCTGGCCTTCCATGGCCTGGGCTAGAGGAGCACACACAAGCACCTTCCTCCTGTTGCCTTTACAGGGCCAATGAATTTATAACTCATGCAATTAAGCCTAAGTGATAGCTTTGGTTGTGTGAACTCGCAAAAATCAGAGGATCCACCTTTGTAACACCTCAGTGGCATGCCAGTAAGATGACATAACATAAAACCTTGCATTTCTCTCAATGCCATGGCTGAAAAACCTGTGTCAGGGAGCAGAGGAACCTTCACTGCCATGCCAGCCTTGGGACAGCTCTTTAGCTACTCACCAAGTCATGGCAGCCACCGTTGTCCATGAGGCATGGGTTGATTGCATCACAGTTGTAGCCATCACCAGCATAACCCCTCTGGCAGACACACTTGCTCTGCAAGAAAGAGAAATTTCAGTTTTATAGACCTATCAGGGCATCCTCATTTGCTACCCAAAAAAGGCCTAAGGCAGCAAAAGCTATTAATTTATTTTCCCAAGTTTTCTTCCTGGTCCCTCAAGACCTGGAAATGTGGATACATTTTCTTAGCAGAGTATCATCCTCTGTCACAGCACACATGCTGGCTGGTTACTCAAGTGCACTGATCCCTCGCACTGCTTGGCTGTGGAGGGGTCACTTGAAGATGATGATTTCCATCTTTATTTCCAGCCTTTCAGGGAATGACACAGACTATGTAAATGGCAGAAAGAGAAGAGGGGTTAATTTCAAAGCTTCCTGCTTTCAAGATAGCTAGGAGAGCACTTGTATATCTCATCTCACTAAAATCTGCTACAGATTTGGCACCTTTTCTCAGCACATTGTCCAATGCTCCCCTTGCTCAGTGGGGAGAAGCACCTTGAGAAGCAGCACCCTGAGAAGCCACCTCTCCTGCGTGTCTTACTCCCCCTCAAGATGCCTGGCTCCCAGCTCAGCTCCCTCCACAGAGGGAGAGCACATGCTTTTCTCTGTATTTTAGCATCATCCAGGGACAATGCTGTGAGCTGGGAACAAGGGGAATGCAGCAAATAATGCCTTATACCAAGCCGCGTTATGGGGTGTAGTCTCTTCCCTTTGCTGTATAAAAGCTTCAGAGTAGAGCAGCAGCCTCAAACATCTCAGTGCATCTCACCACATGGAAGCACACTGTGTAGTTTTAGCTGCAGCCGGTGTTTCTGGCAAGCAGACAAGCAGGTTTTGCTGCTGACCAGCCCAATTTCTACCTCTGGCAATCCAAGGTCATCTCAGAGCAGCTTAGGGAATGTTAAGTCCACCATCAGATTGCTTAGCATTGATCATACCTGTCCAGGGCCAATATAAATGCAGTCAGCGTTGATGTGACAGTTCCCTCTGCTCTCCAGCACACAGTTGTCTATAGCCACGCAGGCCTTCCCGTCCCCCGTCCAGCCCGTGTTGCACTGGCAGGTGGCAGTGCCGGGGCCCGTACTGGTGCACAGGGCCTTCAGGAGGAGAGAGAGAAAAAGAATTACACTCAGCAGAAGAAGGGAGAAAGTTCAATGCAAATTCAGCAACAAATCTCCTTCATCAGTCTGTGGAGAATTTCTGAATGACCAACTCTGATTCCAGCACTGTAGGTGAGGAGTGGAAGCATCTTCTCCAGAAAAGTCATTGAGAACTTCATAATAAAGTGATTCTGGAAACATTTCGTGTTTTCAGGGCAGCCACTTGTGTCTAGGGTGGCTCAGAAATCCCAGGGCATTCCCTACCATCCTATAAAGCTCCTCCATTACAGAAGAAATATCCCCTAAAGAGGAGAATCAAAATCTCCTGCCTGGACATGTGGGATGGAATCAATGACGGAGGCCAGATCTCTCTCAGGAAAGACCTACTTTGTACCCAGTACTTCTATATGGCCCAATGTGTTCCTCTTGCTGAAGGGTCTAAATTATGATGAGGTCTGACCATTTGGCAGTCATTTCCATCAAAAAGCACCACAGTTTTTTACTAAGGATTATAATGTAGTGTTGATGGTTACTAGAAATATGAGTTGGAGCTCACAGTTAAGCTACAGCCTGAACACAGCAACAGAAAAACTAGCACATATCAGAAGAGCTTGAGGGGAAAATCAATTCAAACCAAAAATTATCTGTACAGCTTATCTCTGTAGCTACCAAAATATCTGGTGCAAACCAGCCAAACTGTCCTTGGGGTGTCGCATTTTGGCACCAATCTAAATGATTGACATTCTTATGACAACTGTGTCAAGGTACTTGTTATTCCACCCCATCTTACAGACAGGGAAAGTTAGCACACTTTCTGAATCTGAAACAGTCCCAGGAGTCCTGGATCCCTGCTCTAATTGATAGGAGCTGCTTCTCCACGCTTCGACAGTCTGACCCCACTTACATTCTGTGAACAGCCTCCTTGCTCTGGCTGACTGCACAGGTCGATGGGCTGGCAGGAAAACCCGTCACCTTCGTAACCATCCATGCAGATGCATCTTAAAAGTATAAGCACAAAAGGGACACACATAGCACAGCCCCTTCTGAAAGCCAGCAGAGAGTAAAAAGGCAGTTTAAGCCTCTCAAGCAAGCAAGAACCTGACTTTGATTTCTAGCAGGTTGGCTGCGTTACTCAAACAATCCTGTGCAACAAGTACACAGACATATATATACAATCACAGGGCTGGCAGCCTCACAGCCGCTGTGTGCCTGTACAGTGACAGTGTGCCCAGCTGAATGGGCATGCCAAAAAGACTGACCTTGCTGTGTCATTGAGGCTGCAGACAGCGTTCTGGTGGCAGTACTGGGACAGCCCGCTTGGGCCACAGTTCTTGGACGTCCTGTCACAGAATTTCCCAGTATAGCCTTCCTTACAGGACCAGGACTGACACACACCACCACTGCCAGGCCTGTTGTCACAGACACCATGGACACAGCCACAATCTGTTAAGCACATGAAGTAAGACCAGTAACTACAAAAAGTCCAGAATCCACCACAGTGCCAGCATTTTGTGGATTCCCAACTTTCCATCACAACCTCTTGTGGCACCAAATGATCATCCTATTTGTTCTTGACAGGGAGATGTCTGCTGAGAGACATCCATCACAACTCAAAATCTGGCCAGGGAACAGATCCTGTGACCACTTGGCTCTGTGTTTTTTATAGGCTGTAAGAACAGGCCCAAGTTTAGGCTATCAAGCTCAAGGTCCTTGTCAACTGTCTCTGATTTAGATCTTTCCTGCTAGGAAAGTAAAGTCCCACACCTAAATTTGGCTGATGTTTCCAAGACCTCCACCACTGTTGTATCAGCCATGTTTTCTCCACTGTTGTCTGAATGGATGACATAGACAGCTAAAGAAAGAGCATTGTTTAAGATTGCTCAAACCCAACCAAGAGTATTATTGAGGTTGCTCAACAGTAAAGAAACATCGGTATCAATAGGAACATCTGTGTACACCTGATCACAAGTCATTTAACCATGCCAGCAGGATGCGAGACAACCCTCGAGTCATATCCTTAGGCAACTTATAACCATAAAAGGATAAAATGAGAAAGGGGCTATTCCCCAAACGACCACCAGAGACCCTCTGAAGACCACTCCCCAAATTGAATGCGCATGCTTGACTACAAAATATACTGCTTTGCATATATAAATGATTTCTGAGTAGGGAAGGAGAATTCCTGGAATTAACATGAATATGTATGATTTGTATAGATAAATAATAGCTTTGAAACTTCACATGCATGCATGTGTTAGGAGGAGTGATCCCCCATGCACCTGGCGCTGAAATAAAGTAATGTCTGCTTTCCAATACTAAAATTATAGTGTTAGAGAGTTTTATTTTTCCATGATACACCCATGATAACATTTCTGTCACTTCTTTCGTGATGCTGGTCTTGCCAGAAGGGAATTCAGGATACATGAACCTGCACTATATCCTTGCCCTACATTTTCCTCTAGTCTCTCTATCAGAATTACCAACCTTCGTCACAGTTCTCGCCATGCTTGTTTGGGTTTGAACAGATGTGGCAGGCTATCCCTTTGAAACCTTCAAAGCAGTGACAGTTGCCATTCCCTTGTATGCCATCGCTGCACTGGAAGGAAAACCAAAAGAAAACCAAAGTGACTGAAACTCAGGGAATCAAGGCAAAGTCAAGGCGTTGATAGCTATCAAAGGCACTTTGATACTTGCGGTAAAAAACAGGACTTTGAAGAGTGGTGGTAGTAATACAAAATCCCACATAGTCAGAGCTGTCCCCAACAGCCATGATATGATTCACATTAGAGCTCAAGACAGAAAACCCACTGAGTACCTGCCATTCTCCCTGGATATTCTGCTGCCACCACTGTGGGCTTAGCCCTGGAGCACAAACTCTGAATTGTACTTATCTACAACAACACTCTCTAACCACACTGTCTCAACTGCTCATTGCAACACAGCAGGATCTTTCATACTTACATTTCCCCGGCCATAGCATGGACTGGAAAATCCCCCTGGGCATGGCATGCAGTCCGGACCAAAGAATCCTTTGCAGCATCCAGGTTTCTGAAACAAAAGCAAAATTGGTAAGGTATAATGTGACTTAACAAGAATTGTCAGGAGTCATCCTGCCCTCATAGTTCTGAAATGCTGGTTCTCCCCTCTGCCATGGACTGAAATGGACTGTCTCATTTGGCATCTGTATTTCCAGGAGCTCCTGCCCTTAAATTATATTTCAACAACACCCTTCTTCTGCTCACCACCTATTCTTCTCTGAATAAATTACTATTTTCTGCTCTCTCTCTGACTTCAACAAATAGGGTCCATGTTTTCTATGAGCTTTTATTTCTTTAATAGTGCTGGCCCACTCACTCCTACTTTATCCTTGCTGAGGACCTCCTTTGGAGGGATGTAGCAGTCCTGGATCACAGGTGGAAGAACAATCACAAGACAAACAATCAGCAGTATTTAATGAGACACCTACAAATCTCTCCATATAGTTGGTACTGTGAGAGCTCAGGAGCTGCAGATAAATGTGAGGTCCATAAACTCACTAAGAGCAACTTTCCTGAACCATCTGACAGTATTTCATAAACAGGATGCAATAACTTCACAGCTTACAGCACTTTCCCTGTGCTCAGCTTCCTATGGGAGAAACGCTAAAACCAGGGCAGTCTCAGAGAAAACGTGCCACAGCTAACACTGCACCATTTGTCTCATGGCTTCCTCCAGCTTAGCTGGTCACAACTGGTGTGCTTTATTTTATTTATTTATTGTACTCAGGTTTAACTGAGCTGCTTTCTAACATTTGCAGCAGGTTGGTACCCTGTGTTCTCTGTTTTTGCCAAAGAAAAAGCAGGTAGCCAGTTCATCTGATGGTCCTGAGGACAGCACTTTGCATGGGACAGCCTTCCTTTTGCTCCCATCCAGTCTTCTCTCAGCACAAGGAGTCAAAGTTCTTCTTGATGAATGAGGAAGAGGAAAGCTGAGCTCCTTTCAAAGGGATTGTGGTTTTCCATCACACTCACCGTGACGGTTTGATTGCAGTACCTGGCGCATCCCTTCTTCAGGACATTCAGGCCTTGTGGATCATGGATGTAAACACATTCTTTTGGGAAGAGCATTGGTTCCTGTACAAACAAAACCAGTCATCAGCACTGTAACCTTGCCCTTTGCTCTTTCTGTTGTAGAGAGCAACTATGCCTATCTCTGAGCCGAGGAAGTTCACAGAGGAGCCAAGGTGAACAAGGTATCATTACAGCATTCCTATCATGAAAGAAGGCACATGGTGGCTTCCTCTTGCTCCCAGCAGTCCCCAAGTCTGAGCCAAGGTGCTGCCCTTCTGTTCTAATAACAGTGTCTGTGATAAGGGAGAGAGGGTTAAAAAGCGGGAGGGAGGAAGGGAGAGAGAGGAGAGAAGGGGGAGAAAAGGGCCGGGGGGAAAAACAGAGGGTAAGAAAGAGGGGAGGAAAGAGAAAGGAAATGGGGGGAAAGGCAGGAGGGAGGGAGAGTGGGGCAGAGGAGGAGTAAGAAAGAGAACGAGGGAGTGAGGGAAGGAGGTGAGACAGAGAGTGTGAGAGAGAGGGGAAAGGACTGCATATAATTTTGGAACAATGCTCAGTGACCTGTCATGGTGTTAGACACAGGCAGAATTGGACCCCAGATGATTCTGGCTTCACCTGCCTCAATCAGAGAGGAAAATGAGTGACTAGCAATTTTGCAGAGCTCTGTTCCAGACGTTCATGCTGAGATCGCATCAGCAAGTTCTCCTGAAAGTCAGATCTCTCCGAAGCCGCCCAATAGTTAACAGTGCTGAACACCTCTCTGGCTTTCACAAACAACATCTTGGACCTGGCCTTCACATGGGGATTTCCTGGAACTTGCTGTTCTGCTAAACTCAGCATGGGATAACCCAAACACCACCTCCCCGCCGCCTTCTCCTTACTCCACCTTCAGCTAGTTCTGCTCATCTCTGAATCAAGAGGGAGCACAGGCCAAGAACAAATTGTTTCTCAACCTCTGTAGTGCAGAAAGCTTGTTGTGATTCTCTGGTCGTGGTATAGGCAGAGGTAGTACTGGATGGTTCTAGTGGGATCAGGCTTGGTTCTAACAGTCTGGAGGAGCTAGCAGACTCAGCACGTGAGCAGGAAAGCTCTGCCTGAGGCACAGCAGATGTGCTAAAAGCTGCAAGTCTACAATTTCATTTAGCTCAGACTGCCTCAACCGCTCTCTCCATTGATTCAGCAAACAGACTTCAAAATAAGAAATAGCACAGAGCAGTTAGTGGGTGACAGTCTGAGATCACAGAGCATGGATATGTGGGGAGTACGTATCCTCTAACAAGCTTCTCTACCGATTGACTTTCCTGCTCTCTACTTATTTGAAAGTGGCTTGGGTTAGAAACTATCAGTGCGTCTGTATGTCATCATGCAAAAAAGAAATTACTGAAATAACCACAAATATTTACCATTTCTTTGCTGCCAGGTGGGCAAACGCTGTTGTTGAGGGCCTCACAATCCACACAAGAGCCCTGTTAAGAAAACAAGAGGGGAAAATTTAATCTTCTCAAAGGAACCAGTTCCCCATGCCAAGAAAACTACAGAGCTACTGCTCCCAGTATATATCCAAAACATCACAACATATATCAGAAACATTCCTAGGAGAGAGATTCCACACTCTGAAATAGGGTAAGTTTATCAGTTAAATAAAATGACTCCTTTGTCTCCAGGAGATGCTTCTACCTCACTGCAAGATGATGAGGTCTGTCTCCACCTTGTGAATCTATCAACCACTAGACATGCAGCTATGCTGGAAAACACTTTGTGCATCCATGCAGCAGGTCTCACTAAACCAGCAAGTTATATGGACCCTCTGACCACTTGGGATTAACTGTGTCTCTCCAAATCAGGTGCCTCTTGCCTATTCAGAGCCTCATCTTCTTTCTTCAGCAACCTACCAACGATCAAATTTGGGAGCAAGCACCTAAAATAAGGTATTCAAAACCGTTCAGGTAAAAATATTGCACTGCACTGGTACCTCCTGCTACTGAATGACTGCTTCCTGTCCAGCCGACATGACAGCAATGCTGATAGTGATGGGAACAAACATTGCGAGCCAAGTCAGCAACTGTGGTGTGAAGAAGATCATACAAGGACTTATGAAAAGGCAAATGTACTTCTGAATCAAAGGTAGCATGGGTGCAAGAAAAGAGAAACAACCTAAAAGGAACATTTGCTGATTGCCAGGAAAGCAGTGCCAAGTGCTAGCAGAAGAAACACTGACAGTGCTGAAACTGCCTAAGTTCACATCAGGGGACCCCTCAGAGAGAACACATTTCCCAAATGCAATTTACACAGCCTGCTTTTGTCCCTCCAGGCGAGTGTGGGGTCTACAGCAACCGCTAGCGTGAGAATGGGAGAAGCTGACTTACCGTCACAATTTTATGTTGCTCTTCATTGCATCTGTGTGGTAAAATGGGAATTATTGAAGGAGGGATGAAGATGCCGTCCAAGGTATGAATAATACCATTTGATGCCACAATGTCTCGCATGTTTATGGGGATCCCTGATTCACCCATCAGAATTCTTCCCTGATGCAGAGACACAAATAATTTATCTGCATTTTAGCCTGTCAGACTGTATCAACTACATAAAGCCAATGCAGGAAACAGACAGTACACAGTATCAAGTGCAACCACACAAACGGTCAAGCCTCTTAGTGGAGTCACAGGTTGGATAAGAAGCAAACTAATTCAATGACCTTATTTAAGTCTAGTTTTTTAAGCAAAGGAGGAAGCAGAGATGGGCTGAAACCACATTGTTCAGAACTACATCCAGACTTTCTCCTAGCACAGGAGAGTATCCCCAGAATTCATACTTACGTCTGCACTGACGTTGATGGTGAGTATCTGGTTAGCCATAGTAACAATGTGTGGCATCATTATCAGTTTCTCTACAGTCACCTGAAATAACACCACAAGGGGACAGTACCATGAAAAAGCAGGGTCATTTCAGTACAGTTTACAGAAACCTTCCATGATTCCCACCACTTAAAAAAAACTCCTAAAGGGGACTTGACTTTAAAATTTACATTTCATGAAATACCTTAAACACAAACAATGGGTCAGAGGGAAATCCCAGACTTTGTGTGAATTGTTTGTGTGAATACCACAAACACAGAGGCGCCAGCAGCAGCAGCCTTGGTTACCATTCCTTGTGTAAGTAACAGTCCAGCTCAGCCGAAATCAAGTCTCACCAATAGGGTCTCTTACTAATACAGCTGCAAGTAGAGTCAGACTAATAAGGGGATTTTCCAGGACATATTCAATAAACGATGAAAGCTCAGCCAGAAGCATAATAGAGAACAAATTTTCACTTAATAAACAAGCTTATTTCTAAAGGCAGAAAAAAATAAGCTGCAGCTACTGTACTGAGAAACTTTAGTGATTTGAGAAATGAGAAGTCCTGAGAACCAAGACAATGGTTACTTTTGTATCTAACAGGTTAGCAAAAAAGTAGCTCAGCTTGTTACTATGTTGTTATTCATCAATCGCAAACAAAACTACATTTTGCTCTTCTGTCAAAGTGCTGCTCATTTTCTCTGTTGGAATTATGAAAATCACAAGGACTGACACGTGCTTCTCAGTAAAGAATGGGAATAATATTGATATTTCTTAATGAAGGACACAACATTGCACCATAATGCTTGAGTATTCACCTCCTCCACAGGTTTTATGTCTAACTTTAAACATTTCTCTTATTTATTGTATAAGGGAAAATGCCTTGTTGATGCCCTGTATTGCTTTTATTTACCCTGCCATTATAGTACGCAGCAATGTTGGTGCAAGAACAGGCAGTAACGGGTCAAACCATAGGCTCACTTGCACCAGTTCTCCATCTCTAACTTTAGCCACTGGTGGAGCCCAAGGAGAAAGGAAAAGGAACAGGGAGTTTGGACCAGTTCTTCGCTTGGCTGTACCTTTTGTGTTGCTGCTCTGAGTGTTCTAGGGAAACTGCAGGCTGGAGAATTCATAATTAAGGTACTCTCCTAATTAATAGTTTAACAAATTAAAGTCATAACAAGAGAGTATTTGCCTGCAGCAAACTCTGCTGGACTATTTTCATTGTAAAGGTCATCCAACTAAGGAGCTCCATCACTCCCAGGAAATTCAGAGTTTTGTGTTGGAAGAGCGCAAGCTATCCCTTTCGGCACCCCCTTTTGTGGTAAACATTTTGCCTCATCAGACTCTGAATCACATCTCTGCTGCTCCAGGGGAAGTCCAAGAAGTAGCAGCTGAAGTATTCAAGACTCTGACCTCTAAGCCAAACAACACAGTTGATATCATGCTGGCCCAAAGGACCTCAATTATCTGGAATTAGAGCTGCCTGCCTTACCGCTGCTGAAGTGTAGATATGATGTTTCACGAGCTCCTGAAGCTTATTTATGCCCTAGCAAAAAAAACAGAACATAAGAATTAGACACCTCTTCAATGCTCAGGAGTAAGGGGAGGCAACCACATTTTCTTTTAACCAGTGACTGACAATGCCAATGTACTATAGCAGTAAATTCACTTGGCAAATGAGTTCCTTCATTTTCCCCTACCCAAAGCTGGGGTGAGGAAAGCAAGCCAATTAGATTTAAACAATCTGGTTAACTGTATTTCTCATTGCAGGTTCCATCAGCATTCACTTCTCTCCCAAAGCCTTACAGAAACAGAGACACGCTTTAGCCATCTCCACAAAGAACAGCTTTCAACAACGATCAGGTGCATTGCACAAGCCATTCCAGCACAGCCTAGTGCAACACAGTTAGCTCAGGATGCCTTAAAGTACTACGAGCTCTCACCTCTGTGAAAAGATAAATGAGCCTTCCATCTCGCAACTTATCCACACCATCATTGCTGGGTGCAAACACAGTGAAAGGGCCTGGTCCATCCAGTATTGCGGGCAGGCCACAGTTCTGCAAAAACAAGAGAAGATTTCATCATGGATCTAGCATGAGTCAGTGAGGGGGTCTAGCAGGAAGGGAGAGGAAACTGTAAGCAACCCACTAGAGTCAAAGCAAACATATATAAGAGGCAACAGGACACCATGGATAGGTATGTAATATAACAGAGGTATAAATGCCACAAAAACATAGCTTGGACAATGAAGCCACTGGTGTGAATGCAGCTAATCTGAACAAGCGAGTACTGGGCTAATGCTCCCATACATATAAATATATATATGTACATATATATATACATACATATACAGAGACTAAAACTGTATCTTTTTGCCTGAAGAGAAGAAAAACAAGTCTATAATCACAATTGCAGTTAGTGAATTTTATAAACAACTAACAGTCAAAGAACTGAAAACAGGCAGGCCAAGATTGCTGTGAGCAATGCTAGAGCAGATCCAGATGACTCTGTTCAAGATAAAAGGAAAATCAGTCCCTAGTGAAAATACTAATTTATAACCTGAGGACTGCTTTTATTTAGAGATCTACACCCCAAAACAGGTAGCTCCAATCTAGCTTGGCATGGGCAGTCAGGAAACCTTTACTCTTTGTCCTGACAGTAGTCAAGAACTAACCCCACTTTCGAGAACAAACTCCCCAGGGCCAGGGGAGAGGCAAAGGGGAGGTGGGGAAGCAGATGGGAAAGAGGCGTGTATGTTTGCTGCTTGTGCCACATCCCCTATAGATGTGAAAGCTCCCATATTTCCCATCACATTTGCTTATGTAAAACACACAAAATAAGAAATGACAGAAAAAAGCATCCAGAAAGCAAGCCAAACCACTGAGATGTATTTAAATGTTATTCAAAGTTCCCACAAAACCAGCAGCAGGCTTTGCAACAGCAGCAATGCCACACCTTCCTGGGGCAGACACAAACATACTTACCTCCAGTATAGTTTCAAATCTACTGAAGATGTCCATTGATGCAAGGATCTCACCAATGGTTTTCTACAAGACACAAAGAGGAAAAAAGTAGCTGGGGCTGAAGCAACATCTGAGCACATACTGGAATGCCTTTGGCCAGTTTACGTTTGTGCTTTGCATGTAAACATCTACAAGAGACTATCATTGTCAAAGTCTTCAAACCCTCCATATTTGTCAGTTGACCTAGCAAGGACTGAGTCTGTAACTTCAGCACAAACTCCTTCCCATGCACAACAAATCAGATTTTCCAAGGCAACATGCACTTGAGTACCCTTCTGCTTTCCTACTCCAATCTGCAGATTAAATTAAATGAAGAGGCAATTGCTCACTATCATTAAAACTACAGACACACTACTTCCAGCAATATACAAATCAGTTCTGGGCTGGTAGGCAGTGGAGCTGCTCTGTCATCTCAAGTCTCCCTGTGCTTCGAGGACAAGTGTTCACTCTGCCACCTGCAAATGAGCCCCAATGCTGAGAAAATACAATACACAAGCATATTCCTGAAAACACAGAGGAAATAGATGCCTTCCTTTTTGCCGTGTTGCCCATTAAGACAAAGGTAACAAGAGGAATGCCCCTTCAAGTACCAAAACTTGTTAAGGGACTTGCCTGACCTTTATTTGCAGGAATCTGCATGTTTTTTTGGCAGAAAGTGCTTCCCATAGAACATGCAGAGACACAGAACAGTATTTCCAAGGGTACAAAGGGATTTGATGCCAAAAATGGCTGATGTGATCACTAGCCTTCATTGCAAAGCTGACATCACAAGGGAAGGAAAAGTCTGAAGGAGTCCAGAGAAAGACAAACTCTGCAGGGAGCTCTCTTACTGTCCTGCCATCCCAGAGCAGCTGTAAACTCTTCCCTGCAGGTACCTGAACACACAAACACAGATGTCCAGCTTCCCTTCCAGACCTCAGACACTCCTTTTTGGAAAACATCCTTATGCAGGTATTAAGACTGAGAGCATCTTAAGTGACAGCAGACTTAAATATCAGTAATGGGCACAATCAAATCTATATGAACACCCAAAACTTGTACAATTGATACACCATCTTCAGGGCACTTCTGCTGAAGAGCTACTAACACTCAATACAACACTCTGGCTGCCTTTTAAACACACAAAATACAACCATAATATTACACAGTCTGACTGTTTTTACAGATTAATTACAATGGTGTAAAGTAAGTGCAAACTACTACCACAATCATACCAAATTCAAGAGCTTGTATCATTCTATGAGCAATTTTTTTGCAAGGAGGTAGGATGTGACAGGGCCTGTTTTCTGCATATAGAAGCAATATAAAAATGCTCAGGCATAGCAATGTAGTACCTATAGCAAAATCGTCTCCCAGCTAATAGAGAAAAGTGCTTAGCAGAACTTGAACCTGAAACCCCTGCCCAGTGTCTTAAATTCAAGACATGACTGCAAAATGCAAAAGTCTAATGATTATTTGTCCTTGTTTTAAATTTTTTCAATGCAAAGACAACTTTTTGATTATCATTTCAAAATGCAATACAGACCTACGAAAGAAAATCTTCATTTGATTTTTCTGTGAAAAACGCTTTTTCAATATTTATCTTGTAAGATACGTATTCTGTAAGATACAATTGAAAAAGAGCTCATTTGCTATGAAGGGAGTGATCTTACTCATGAAAGTAGAACTCTCTACTCATCCAAGCACTGTAAAAGCATCATTGTGAGGTCTGTATCTGACTTATGCAGTGCTCTTAGCTACTTTTGATGGTATGCTGACATAATAGTACCTAACAGGCCTTATCAGGAGCTGAAAACAAAATAAATAGCCTTTTCCCTTTAAAAAAGCCTCATTGATTTTGAAGTTTAATGATGAAAATGGATTTTTTTTTACATGTTTATTCTGCTGCCCCATAAAACAGAAGAAATACAAATGTCTGTGTACCTGTGGGGTTCTGAGGTTGTCAGTGCTGGTTTTTTTCCTTAGGGTGTTAACGATATGCATGATGCCATTGGCTGCTGGTAGGTTCGATTGCAAAACATTGTACAGTTCCCCCGGCAGGTCTTGATATCGAAATGTTTTCATGTACATCTGGATAACAATAAAAGGTTATTTTCTTCTGGTATATCTGTGTTATCACGATAGATCTACAAATCATTGTTCCCTTCAGTGCTCTCTGCCTATGGGTCAGCAAAGTGAAGGCACAACCAGCATTACTCTGGAAAATGTAAATTTAAGGGGTGGCCTGGATATTAAACAAACATCCCACCTCTACTTGATATTTTGATCCTGAGAGGTACTTTTAAGTCTTAATACAGAAAGAAGACCTAATCTGGGACAGTCAGCTCTAGAATTAAGTTTGTCTGAGTGTGAATGGTGCTTGATCCCAGCTCTGGATCACAAAAGGGTGCACTGATCATCAAGTAGCTGCTGCATCAGCCTGCCAAATACAAGGAGAGAGGCACGGTGCCTCCTGGGCACCAGAATACAGAATCTGGAGGCAAGCCTGGAACTACAGCTTTGATTGTAACTTTTATTGGCTCATAACGCCAACAAGGAGTCTTCATAACAAAGCCGAACCAGTGAGGCTCACTGAATTATAAGGCACGTATCTGGTCCTTCCATAACGTATACAAGCGTGCACTGAATCTGGGTGTATGGAGGTGTTCCAAGGGCAACCTACAAACTAAACATCAAGGTATTGGTGCTGCAGCCATAACCCAAGTTCAGGCAAGCACAACTTCCCCATGCTTTTCATTTCACCACATGCACTTCTTGAACTGCTCTTCCCTGCTCTGAACTTCAGTTCACATCACTGAGGATTCTGGCTGAAACAAAGGAAGGGGAGGCCAGACTTCCCAGATCAAAAGACTCCTGAGTAAACAAACATGAAAAAAATTTAAAAGGAGCATTGACAAGCTCTGTTCGGATTCCCTGGCTCCAAATAGTGCTTTGTCCTTTTGATGCATGCAGGGTGCATGTATTACGACCTAGACCTCAAGGCCAAGGCTGGATCCTCAGAGAGGAAACATACGGCTCTCTCTTGGCCAGCTGTGAGCATGCATGCAGGAAAAGTGCAGGATGGAGAGAGAACAGTGGATGCTGGAAAATATGAGTCAATTGGAAAAGGGAAAAGGGAAAAAAAAGCCTTCCATATCAGAACATAATGATGAAAAACTCTTTGCTAGGACAACTAAGAAAAATAAAACAGAAAGAGGGGGAAAAGGGAAACTGGAAGAGAAAATATTCAGCATGTGGCTGTGTCCAAGCACACAATCTCCAATCTCAGCATTCAGTCTGAAGAGAGACTTTGCTGCCTCTTGCACGTCAGCCACATGGATATTGTAGCTGCTAACAGGGCAGGGAAAAGATCTCTTCTCCAGAATACAAATACAGACCAAGGAAAGACCATTCACAAGTCAGATTCTGGCTAACTAGTTGTCTGCAAGACAAGAGAAGTGGTTGCTTGGCGTGTCTGGTCTTAAATTACCTTGTTTTGGGCTCCACAAAGGAGCTTGTTGTTCTGATGACAGGCAGGCTGATTAGATAAAAAAGTTTTCTGGTTAAGAAAGTGCATCAAGGAAGCTATGCTCAAACTCCAGTCTGTCCTACATGAAAGCACCAGTCTAGGACTTCAGTTCAGGAGATCCTTTACCTGGCTACTGAATGTTAGCTGATGTCCTGACAACGTCCACAGAGTCTTGGCTTTTACCATGTCGTCTACCAAATGCAGACCAGGAACAATGTGCATTCTGCACAAATGCTCAGCAGTGGTATCCTTTGGGGAATAAAGACCACATAGAGAAGATAAATTATATGTTCTTTCAAAAACCTCATTTACTGAAAGAGCCATAACATTACCTTTCTTCCAGCTAAAACACACATAGAGAAATTCTTAGCATACAAGATTGAGCTTCCCTCTTCATTTTTGTTCACTGGAGTAGCACTGTGGCACATCTTTTGCTTCTGTTTGTGTACACATTCAAACACAGGGAGACTGATTAACCTGCAAGTGACTTTACAGGAATCCCTAGACAGAAACCTATTGGACTCGGACAATTTAAAAACTATCCTTGCGTGCTCCAGATTATAAAACTTGCCGAAGCTCCCCATACACAAGCTTTGTTTATGCTGGACTATGTACATGGTCTAAGCTGTTGAATTTACATTTAATTTATTCCTTTCTTTTCTGAGCTTTCCATCACTGGTGTTTTTTTTAAGACAATCCTCTGTCAATACTGATTTAAGTGGAACTGATCCTTGTCAACCAAGTAGACTAGATAACTCGGGGGCCTTTCCTGATGTATTTTCTATGAATCCAGAAGTTACCATGATGACCTAGGCACAGCACCTGACTTGTATTAGTGGAAACCTCTGCTCAACAAGGTAGTAGGAAGACAGCTGATCTCCCTGGCATTTGTAGGTTAGGAGTTGCTCCCTAGACTCTATGCGAGTTACTGCCACTGCATAGATAGCTTTGCTATCAAGCAAAGGAATGATATTTCTAAACCAGTTGGAAATGTAATGTTCAAATGGGGTTGGTTTGTCTGGATTATTTTTAAGACATTTACCTTCTTATATCCAAGCGCTAGCTGCAAGCTAGCTGTCACCTGAAACACAACAGGCACCTTGCCTAGCACACAATTAAAAACCCTACTGCATGAGCTGCATTTGTAGCTCATGTGTTCTGATTTTTAGCTCTGTCCTGGGAAAATGGCTTATATACCTTCTTATCCTAATGATGGATAGCCTGGTTGTGGGCTTAACTGTGCAATAACTACTGCAAAATAACACAATTTAATTAAAAAATAAATATAATAATACGACCTGCAGGACCTACTTGCTGAAGCCTAGAATTCTCAAACTCTTGTCCTGGCTCCTATAGCAGTTTTCTCCAGCCCTGCCATACTTGCTGTTCCCATTAATAAAAAGAGCTCTTCTCAAGAAGTTGACACCATACCCACATCTAGGGCCATAGGCCGAAAATCCAATACTTTGATGCAAATCTCAGCCCTTTTTGAAAAGCCCACCCTCAAGTAGTGAAAAGCCACCTAAAGTTTTGAGAATAGTCACACACAGAAGGTTTGAGCTTTAAATGAAGAATGGCCAGAAAAACTTCCTGACATTAAAAACAAACAAACTCTGTCAATATTGAAGAGAGAGAATAGAGGTTTTAAAAATAATGCAAGGGATGTAACATCCTGTATGAGACTGCAACTTAACCAGACAATGAAGAGTCTTCCCAAGAGATTGCTTCTATAAATACTGCCTTCCAAAGTTCCTCTCTCATGTGCCAATTCGTTTTTACAGGCTGCAGAACTCAGGCAGGAAAGAAATCTAAGACAGCAAAAGTTTGCTAAACCCAAGAAAACTTACATTAAATTCCATTCTATCGTGAATCGGAAGAAGGGATGGTACAAAGACTGTGAAAGGCCCATATTTACTCAGCAACACTGAGCAACCAGAAGCTGTAAAAAGAATAGCAATGTTAGTAGTTACTTGGCATATAGCTTAACTCCAGCAGTAATTACTCCTCTTGTTAACAGCACAATTCAATCTACACATTTTTGGCCTGATGCAAGTAACTAGTACTTGTTTACAAAGAACCAGAGGGAATTTGGTATTGGTATCTGCCCAGCTTGGTTGCTACTGGTTTTAAGCACTTGCCCACAAGACTTCTGAAGGATTGCTGGTAACTTTGGTCCACTTTGAATCACCGCTGAAATCTGCAGAATATTCATAATGATTTTGTTCCCACATGCTTACCACCTTATTCTTGGGCCAAGTGTCCTCTGTCTTCCCCTTGAAACAACTAATTTTGGGGTTTCATCAGGGTTTATTGAGATTAAATACTTCTTGAGAAGCTGCTATGAACTCACAATTGTCAAGTCTTCACTCAATCATCAATGGCCCACCAACAAAGTCCATACCAACAAAGGTCATTAGGTACTAAGTCCCACTGCACAGAAGTTAGGAACCAACAGATCTTCATGTTGTTGCCCATAGCACAAATCGTTATGGAAAACATACGCAAAAAAATAAATGTTGGCAACACTGATATGTAGCAGGGAGGGGTATTCACAAAAGTTAAGCTGAGCTTTAAGCCCTGTCTGTATGCTACTGTCAAGTTAGCAGAGATAGAGAAGACTGTGCAGAGGATGAGTTGGGGAAGGTATCTAACATAAATATGCTTTGACATGAGCCAAAGTGTTCTTATTCTTTGCTTGGATTACAGTGAGGCAAAAATTAATCTTTGCAGATATCACTCCCCACTCTTGCAGTACACAGGTTCTAAAACAGTCTTCTATGCTTTGCAAAGCAATTCCTCCCTCAGAAAGTACCATGGTGCATAGAATAAAGCCTTCTGATTTCTACAATAGCCACTAACACATGTGTGCTGGCAAGGAGGCTGTTTAAGGGCTTAGCAGACGTTCTACTAAGTACAGGACCCATGACACACCAGCCTCAAGCATCACCACTAGAAAACTCAGCTGTTGCTGAGCCTTCAACATAGATACTGCAGTTGGAGACACACTGGTGGTTTGATACAAATGGGTCTGAATCACTCCTTCAAGGCACATTTTTCTTCTTCTGTAGATATGGTACATCCTTCACCAGGACTGTCAAATACCTAATACTCATCCACAGTGCTCTCTGTCAACAGTCTCCCCAATTCATAATCCAGAATGGGTAATATGAGTTCAGAGATGTGATGTGTTTAATTTTGCAGCCCATGGTCAGACACTGCAAAATAGATCTATTATGCCGAAAGATCTATTATGCCTTTTCTGACACACTCTTGTCCCCGTGTTTGTTCCATTCCCCAAACAAATTCAAAAGACATTTACCAAACAATTTCCTGGCGACATTTAATTTCCCAGCAAACTTTCCTCGTGAATTATGCTGATGTATCTCACTCAAGAGATCTTTATAGCAACTTCTCCCATCTCCAATCTCCCCTTCTTTACACACACAGCTAAGAGACAAGAATGAAACATAACAAACCATTATAAACCAGTTTGCAACACTTTCAACAAATGTGAGTAGAACAGCATGGCAGTATCTATGCTTGAAAGACAAATCCCAGCTTCAAGGTGTAGGTAAGAGCTTAGTAACTTCTGCCTAAACTCAGTGACAGGAAAAAAGATGCACACGTCCAGAGTGCAAGCAAATTTGGAACTACCCAAAGAGAATGAAGATGCTTTCTCAGATACAATCAACATAAGGATTGTCTGCTCCAGAGTTCAGGGTACAGATAGCCACAATATATTTATTGACACCATTCTAATTGGATATTCAGTCAGTACCAGTCATGACAGCATCTGAAAATTTGAGGTAATATGTAAAAACCACAGGCTAAGTGTAAGTCTAGCAAACAGCTCCTATGTGACCCCTCAGCTTCAGCGAGAAGTGCCAGCCAGCTCAAGCACATCAGTTAGCTGCGGTTCGTCTTAGACTTAGCGAGGGCCCCAGGCAGGCTAATGACTCTTCCAGAAAAGCTTATCTACATGTGAAAATCTCCGTCCTGATTCACACGGATTTATAGTCATTACTCAGAGACTACTTAAGATCACTGGCCGATAACTATGTTTTTTCCCGTTTGGGTTTTGTCCAAGTATCGGCTCTGCTCTTTCTGTTTCAGGGATGCAAAGACATGTGACACAGGAGGAATTTGACATTACTCCAGCCTCAGAGGGCTAAGTGCCAGCTCCTGGGGAACAGATACACTAAGGCAGGGACTGTGCAGAACACCGTGTCCTGCACTTTGCTAGCATATCTTCAGAAAGGGAAACCACTGCATTTTAGTTCTGGCCTGGAGAAGACAATAAGCAGGTAGATGCTAACAGATTTAGCAGTACTGGAGAAGGAAAGGTCAAGGAGATGGAACTGCTCTTTGCCTCTTTAGACTCTCAGAGAAGCAGAGAAGCTCCACCTTTTCTTGGTAACACACAAAATCCTCAGTGATGCTTTCTCTAGCATTTGGGAGGCCATTATGCAAAAATGATCCTACATCTGGCAATATTTCCCATCTAAAGGGTATTAACTTCTTGGTGTTTTGCTCCAGAGGACTAAATGAGGTCTGGTTTCTTCCCTCAACTTTCCCCTTCCCTGTCAATGCCCCTAGTTCATTTGTTGCTTACAGGCCTGAGTAGTAGCAGAGCCAAAGACTTAGCCCTCAGAATCAAATGTGGGCAAATGTGAGCAGAGTCACACATCTCCCTTTTAATGATTATTAACTGGTAATACCCTACTACTACCACCAACTTGGGGAGCTACATCTCCAGTTCACATCACAGAAGACTCTGCTGCACCATATTTAAACCATCTTGTGACCCACATGCCAAAATTAGCAATGATTGATGTAAAGCTCTTTACTTTCAATGGGCTTGTTACAAATGGGCTCTTCTCAAAAGGTGACTCTGGTCCAATCGCCTCAGTTAGCTCTCAATTTCTTCAAAATTCAGCTCACCTGGACTCAGTTTCCATTCTACCTGTAGAATAAGCTTCTTCAACAGCAATGTTTAAACTGGTTTACCTAGGATTCCCCTGGGAATTAATTTCACACGTGGAAGTGACGTCACAAAAATACTGCCGGCAATCATTGGGAAATGCAGAACACTCGGACGATGGAGTTCTCCTACGCATCCCAGGCTTGCAAACACAAGATGCCTAAGGAAGGCAACACAGGGATTATAGAGCTGCATTCATCATCTTTTACCCAGTAAGTTACTCTACAAAAGAGCTGTCTGGTTTCCGTTTGCAAAATCTAAGGTGAGGAGAGCAGATATGACCCACACAATGGCGAGTTCATTTGAAGAACTTCTCACCTGGCCATTTTTCAGACCCTTACACGTTGCTGACATGCTGTTATTGCCCTTACCTCACCTGGACGTCTGTAAACACAAATCGTAGAGTTTTCTAGGCAGCCTCCGTTGCTGTCAACACAAGGGTTTATGGGCTGGCAAATCTTCCCATCTCCTTGAAATCCTTCTTTGCAGGTACATTGATACTTTCGTGGTCCAAGAACCTTACATACAGCGAAGGGAGAGCATGGAGAAGCAGCACAAGGATCCTGAGCTGCAATTAAAAAGATGAGAGGTGAGAGTAACCAAATCTCTGTTTTCAAAACAGCACTTACTGCAGCACAGCAGAATGCAAAAGGCCTGGAAAGAATGGAGTATAAGGACTTTATACTATTAAACTTCTAAAATTTCCCTGGAAAATAAAATAATTTCAGACAGCAGATGTTTTGGGTTTTTTAATCTGAAGACTTTGGATGACCCATTCTTCATGTTACTTCAGTAACGGAAGTGTGAGTGACAGAGGATGCTTGGACTTCTATCTGAATTTCCATCATATCTGAGGATATAGGAAAGTGCAGTTTGCTCAGCAAAAACTTGAAAATGCCAGTGAAAATAGAGCTATCTATAGCTAGCTAATCACATGTATTTATTGACTTTCTTTTAACAAAACCAATTCACAAATTTAAATTTGAAATTAGTGAAGAAATCCTCCAATTATATGCCCTATTATCTAAACTCGTACAGACTCACCAATATCCCATCATCACAGTTATTCAGTACATACTCAAAGTGAGTCCTGGATGGAATGTGCAACTCTAATTCATTTCTTGCTTTCAGGTCCAAGTGAGAGGAGAGCCAAAAACTTAGCCCTTAATCTTAAAGGGATTCCTAAAAAACAGGTTCTTAAGCCTCTGCCATGAAGTAGGCATTGTATTCACAGTGATCAAATTCATCCAGAGATACCAGTGCTATAAGATTTTTCCAAACAGGGGACCATTTAGGGTCACAGAGAAGTTTCTGACCTTGGCAAGTGCTCCCGCTTTTTCTGTAGCCCAGCTTGCAGTCACACATTGCTGTCCCATCCCTTACCACACATTCGCTGTTGGTCTCGCATGTCACGCCTTTGCAAAGGGGAAGCTCTGGAATCACACAACAAACAGTTTTCCTTTGAGCATGCAAGGCGCTGCTGGAAGATACAACTTACTTTACAAATATCTGGAAATAATGGCAAATGTGGTTTCCAGAGGCCCCCGAGCTGGCACAAAAGCCAGGGGATATAAGCAGTGCGGACAGCTCTAAATCACTGGCAGCCTGGGCAGTCAAGTCCCACAAGGCTTAGAGAGAAGAAAGGATCTATCTGCTTTCCAGAGGAAGAACAGAGGCACAGAGATGGTACATCTCGGTCACTGTCACGGAGTGGGGAGCAGACCCCAGCCTTTCCCTCTGTCTAGATCTCCAATGTTCAGATCATCTTCCCTCTACATTTCCAAGCCATTCATTGCCCCCCCAGCTCCTTTTGGGACACACGCATCCAAGCCCATATCACGGTTTAGCTCTAACAGCCCCTCTGCAGGTACCAATGTCTTTACCTTGGTCACACCTGGGGCCAGTGTAGCCTCCATAGCAGATGCAGCTTCCGTTCCCAGTGATGCCGCTGTTGCATTCCCCGTGCACACAGTCACACACTGCAAGGAAAGTCCAGACAGACCTGACCTTCAGCTACAAGGCAGTGCATAGGTCTCCAGGAATACGTTGGCCAACTGCCCTGGGACTTGGCACCCTCATTTCCCACCAATGATCCACAGCAAATGTATCTCCTTTTAAAAATCAGCCATGCCAGTCAGAGCTTAAAAAGGGCAAACTGCATTTCCTGGGCTCAAGAAGACAAAGTACTGCCCTGTAAGAGCAGCCTTGAATGCAAGATCTAGACCAGTTTTTCAGGCATGCATTTTAACTTCCCAATCCTCTAAGTCTCCTGCAGCCAATGTAGAAGAAGGCAGCGTTATGAGAGCCTACCACATCTGTGTTCCCAGCACTGGTGTTGTTGTGTGAGCACAACCATCAAGATCACACCTATCTCACCTGTGTGGATATAAGGGAACCAGGAGTGTGACAAAAAGGGTTCCTTTAACAGCCAGGCTGCACTGGTCATAAATCACTTCCAAAAATGCCATACAGGAGAAGCAGCACTGTGTGTATTAATTTTGGAGGGAGGGCAACAAGGAAGAAGCTGGGAGACAAGCAGGGCAGTTACAGGAGTCTGGAAAACAGATGGGAAGTGAGTGTGGGTCGCTTCAGGGATGTAGGTAACAGCCTGGTTAAAAAGAGAGAGGAAACTGGGATAGCTGTCGTAAGGAGAGAGAGCAGGAAAATAGACTGATTTGAGTGAAAGACTGAGAATCATTTGTCTAACAGGACAGTGGAGAAGGGCACAAAGACAAAATGCCAAGACACCTCCTATTGAACACTACCAGCTGGCATCCTCTCCTCCTCTCCAGCACCCTTCCTCACTCAACCTCCCCCTCCTTCTTCCTTGCTTTCAGTTATTTTTGTGGAGGTTTCACTTGAATTACTCATTCTTACCTGACTGACAGTCTGGGCCAAAACGATTTTCATCTCGACAGTTCTGGCAGGCAAAACCACTGTATTGCTCCTAGAAGGACCCCAAAATGTTCCAGATGTTATTTTTCTGTATCATTGCATTGTTCCACACATTGTAATAGCTCCAAATCTTTCCCCGTTTCTGATTTGCTGTGACAGCTGAAGCAATGCAGTGAAGAATACTGATCTGTTCAGTGCTCTAGTAGTATTAATCAGCCCCCATGGCAAAGAAGATCGCAGCACAAGCTGACACACAGAGGGCACGCAAAACACCAGCAAAACTCTGGTGGGCATTGAGGAAACAATGTCCTGACCACAATCAGAGAGGAATGTACCAGCTGGCTTCTGATACCTCTCTGAAAAAGGAATTTGAATTCACTAATGCCAATGGGACTTTTGATGGTGATTTTGCAGGGCTTGGGGATCTTCAGCATGTATTTTAATTGATATAAGATGTCTTTGAGTTAAATCCAAAATCAACTTTTTTCAAAGAAGGGCCCAAAAGGTAGGATTTTAGCTCATAATGCTATTAACTAAGGATGCTGCAAAAACATACAGTACATAAGAGAAAGTTTCAAGTCTGACACAGATCCATTAAGCTAAACATTTCAGAAACACTGCTCTATATAATTCAAATGTGCAGGAATTATTTATGCTTTTGTTGTACTAAGTCTGGAGCTGTAAAGAAAAAAAATAAACATCTGTCCTAAATTATCTTTCTGGTCTCTCCTGCTTTTCCTGAGAGAGGGAGGATCTGCCTGCCAAGGTGCAGGACAAATTCATTTGGGAACTATATCATCCAAATCTGGAAAAGGTGCAGCTCATCAAGAGCCAAGTATCTCAGGGCTTCTTGCAGCCATAGACAGACACTGATTATTTCAACTGATCAAAGGGTTAAATTCATGCAATTCTTTCTTCATTTCTCCCTAGGGATCCTTCCCAACTCCACACTCTCACCAACAGTGTCTTAGTGCTACTGCAGACCACACCAACCCTCCAGGAAAACCACAGACACTGATGCTGGAATGAAAGGAGCTGCTAATGACCTTCCAGGCAGAAGGGCAGCCTTCACTCAAAGCATCTGTACAGATGCTACACAACTCCCTCTGACAATAGCACCTCACCCTTATAGTAAATCATGCACTGACCTTGCAGATGCAGGTCCCATTTTGCTGCATACCATCCAAGCATGTCCCACGGCCATTGCAGGGATTTTGGGAGCCACCTGGACACTCTAGCAGGCAAGAGACAGGCCAGACAAGATTAGATTGAACAACCAGGACTCTATGCCCCTTTCCATCTCCTCTTCCCCCAGGCATTCCGGTTGTGCAAAGGCAATGGCCTCTTCACCAGCAAAGTCCCCACCTGCTTATCCAACACATCTAACACTGGCCCAGAGATGGTGAATATGGCTAGGAGTGGCACCAAGGAACAATTTGGCTGCTAGCTTTTTATTAAGCTTTCTTTTTATAAAAAGTCTAAGGAAAAGTTCCAATGGGCCATAACTAACTAAATTTCAGCAAAGGCACTGAAACAGGTTTTGAGGTTGAGCCACTGCTGCTAGCACCAGTGAGCGGCAGTATCAAACATCTGAGGGCAGTTCGGAAACTCTGGACAGACGGAAGCCTGCTTTGCAAAGATACTGAGCATTTTCAGCTCTCCCTGACTTCATGAAGAGCTGAAAGTGTGCTCAGAAAAACATAGTCCACATGTCTTTGGAGTGAGGTACTTCAAAATTCTGGGGACTATTTCTGATTATTTTAGGCATGTGATTCCTCTGATGAAGCCAGTTGCTTATTCAAACCATTTCATGTGAGAATAGGCTCAAACACTCAAACTATCTCCTATTTTCTGCAGGACGGGAGAGTGTCTTTCCATATTGCAGTAATCAGTCAATCATGTGAGAAGTGTTTAGCTTAGTAGGTCTCGCTTTTGGATTTTTCAGACAAGACAAAACAAATTCTCATTACTTGGCATAAACCTGAGTGGGACCTTTGGTACAGTTATTTTCACTTTGGATTGGAATTGCTAAGTATTTTCGGTGGCCAAATGGTTGATTAACTCCAGATTATACAGGAGCACATATGGCACACGCAGTGCAGACTAGAGGGACATCAGAAAGAAGTATCTTCCTCTTCCTTTGGAAACTTTCTTAAAGAGGAACAAAAACATCCCTTTCCAAAACCTTATTTTTAAAGAAGAGACAAAAGGAAGTTCCACCAAGGGAAGTCATGTTATGTATTAAATGTAAGAGGATTCAACTCATCTGAAGCAAACAGATTCCTTCCCCATTATATTCAGAACCTCGCAGACAGATAACAGAGATTTTGTGAAGGTTTGAGGAATAATGAAAATCAATCACCTCAATGAATATTTAATGCCTCCTGTTAAATCTGGTTTAACTTATTCAACAGCTAGAGAGTGTCGTAAAAAGATGAAAAACTTACCATAGCACTCCGTACCCCAGAATCCTGGACAGCACTTTTTCTCCTCAATTTCCTTCTTACATATGTGATGGCACCCTGGCTGGGAAAGGGTATTTTCTCCTAACTTGACAGTGTATCTTAAAAAGAACAACCCAAGATTACAACACAAACATACCACACGCCTGTTGGAGGGTTTCTAAGCAATCACATTGCAGTGCACTGAACTCTGAAAGGAGGAAAGGGCACTCATTCCCTCTGCCATACATGCACACAAGAGCTTGCACTTGCGTTATGTCTTCTCTGGATGCCCATTGATTTGAGCCTCAAAGATTGGTTACAAGAAATCTGCCAGGGACTGGACATGAGACTGGATCTTGGGCAGTCTGAGGGCATCAGGACAGAAACCTTGGATGCTGGAAGGTTAGACAGCACAGAAACAAAGTTAGGATCTCCAGGGTGACTCTACATTCGACTTCACACCTAAAATAACCTGGAAAGTACAAAAATCTTCTTGCAGGACTTGTCCCTTTCTGGCTTGCACTAAAGATTCCAGATTGAGACGCTGGAAATTTGGATTCAATAGCTGTGTTATTCACAGATTCTCTATTCAATCTTGGACAAACTCCTTAAATCTGCAAAAGAGGGGTCTTCTTTTCAACCCTTCATCCATCACCTCTACACACAGGGTAAGCCCTTGGTGGCACTGTCTCTTGTTCTGCACGTATGCAGTACAGAACCATTCTTGAGTCTGTCCAACAACAACCAGTAGAGCAGATAACACTCAGAAAAGCTGCATACACTCACATTATTCTTACACTTCATTTTATTTTTGGCACAACGTCCTTCCCAAAAGGAACTTGGAAATTGTCTCAATAGCACTGCTGCTTTGGCTTCAATCTGACTCCAATGTGTGTCTGTGCAAAAACTGCTATGAACTGCAAAACTGCTACAGCTATTTTTAAAGTGTTTCGACAGACAAGTGAATCACAGAAAACAGTGGACAAAAGAGCTATACATTAACAGTTAACATTGACCACTGAACAGATAGGCAAACAATAATGCATAGTGTTTCATTTTTTTAAAAACTTCCTGGTAGATACAGTTTTCCTTCAACCTTTTCCTATTAGAGCCAACCACAACAGAATAAGAGCAAGGAACTCATGAACAAGCAATTGTCATAAAGCAAACTAGGAAGGTAAAAAGTTCAGAGGATTATGGCTGGAAGCTGGGAGGATATACAAGGGGAACTATCATTATATTATTTTCCCAATAACCTACTATAGAAATCTGAGTCTGAAACAGGTTTCCATGCTAGACAGACCTCTGCTAAGTTGCCACAGCAGGATTAGCAAACTCAGGTTGTTTAGGGCAAGTTAGAGGTAATTATCATGTAATCTGCTCTGTGTATGTAGAACCTTACACCCAGTAAAAGGTCTGTGGGGTTTCCAAGGAGACAAAAGCAACAATAATTGGGGCCATAAATCCATTTTTATGTATCTGAAAACAAAACTCCTTGGATCTTTAGGGCTCAAAAAACACATGTGTGTTCTCCTGAAGGCATACGCACTACTCCTTGCATAGCAGGGCTGCACCAAAACCTTAACATGGTTAGGAAATAGACCTTACCTGCAGTCCTTCACGCCTAATCCTTGGGTGGTCTTTAACCAGCCTCTTGGACAAAACATTTTAGGCGCTGCAGCACAAGCAGTACATGCTGTATTCAAGGTAAACGTTGTCTTGATGTTGCATCGCATGGATTTTAACTTAAAAAGAAAAAACAGAATGGAAATAAGCCCAAGATTAAATTGTTACCCTAGCCACTCATCTTACCAACCTGTAATATCTTTATCAACATTGCACCATTCTTTAGATACCACTGGGGAGGGCAGTGACCAGTGCAGCTGCTGGGAGGTACACCACACACTCATACGGGCTAAACCATCATGTCATGCTGCTGCATGCTACTCCACTTGAACCTCAGCTAGAAGGCAATAGGGCTAATCACAGCTATCTATCTTACCTTTCCCCTACGCCTCGCAGCAAAAATTCTAACCATTTCTAAAATAATCATAACTGTGCACTGTTAATTTAAGCTGATCTTTTACAAACATGTGGTAGTGGTATGTGAGGACAAGCCCTAAATCAATAACCCTTGCCAGAAGACACTGAATTAGAATGCAACACAGCATTTCTCTTTTCCGTGCCACTGATATGATCCAGTTCACTGGTGGTTTTATTGCTGTTTTATGGGTCCGACAAACCGAATGTGTTAGTTCGGTCTATTTCCCAGGGCTGCTCACACAAATATTTCTCGTGGCAGTTGTCTTCGAGAAGGTACGGGGGGGTGGACTAAAAGGAAAGGTGCTCTGCACCTCTCTGACCACCTAGATGGCCCTTGATGCTTTGACCCTAGGTGAGAAGGACTCCATAAACATTGGCAAGAAGATCAGGATAATTGGATAATTCACATGGTTGATGATAAATTCAGGATAAGTCCTTCCACCCAACCAGACTAACTTTAGGGGTTCAGGTTTCCTCACAGGTCTTTTCTGTACCCCTGTACCCACCAACCTTGCTTCTCCAAATGAAACACAGCTAGAGTAGATGAAAAAAGTACAGCCTCAGAGCAAATAATCATCATCATATGCCAACTTGTCATTAAAGCTCATGATTTTACTCCAAAAGCAATTCCTTGAATCTCTAAACTCCTAGAGTCAAGCAACTGCATGGAAACCTCATTGCTAATTTTAAAAAAAGACAGTATTTGCCACTGATGATGGCAGAGAAAAGCTGGGAGGCACAAGCTGTGTTTGCCCCAGAAGGTCACTGGGTGGAAAAAAACCACACAGCTCACCTCAACTGTGCCTCTACAGGCACTGTATTTTCTAAAAATAAAAACATTAGATCAAATTTTGGGAGGAGTCCTCGATCTCAAATTTTTTAAGCCAATCCTGAACAATGCCATTAATGCAGCAGCTCTCTGGTGCCCAAAACTCCTTGTTCTGGATTCCCACCAGCAATCTCAGCTATGCTTCCTCTGAACTTAAGCACAAATGCATACTTTTGCCTCAAGGCAAGGGACAAAGCCCATGGCTTCCCATCAGTTATCAACAGCTCAGGAAGGTGCTCCCAGATGACAGCCATCAGACCCTGTTAAGAAAACCTCCTGAGAGATAACCCTCAAGTCCCAGGTCCACAGAGACATCTCCCTGGAATAGTTTCCTGACTCACACCCACACTCCCTCTGCCTGGAGCTGTTGAGCTTTTTCTCATCTTCATGGATCCATCTTCTGCAGTCATCCATGCAAGAATGCTGCCCAATGAAGAAAGTGATTTCTGCGTCTGTAGTTGCCCTCCACATGGATATTAATTTTCAGTTGTGCATCTGGGGCTTTCCTTACCGTACAGTAACCTCCACGTCCTTTGGTGGCAGAATCTCCAAGGAACCTGTTACATCAAGGACTCCCTTGCATTATAAACAGCTCAAAACCAACCTGAGATCCACCAAATCTACCTATCCACATCGTGGGAGCACCAGCTTTACTAATTTCATCCAGCAGGACAGAGATCAGCTCTGCTGTTCCTTATGTTCCTGCCCTGCTGGCACACAGTGGAGTCAGAGATCTCCCCCTTTTCATGAAGCAAAACAGAGAAGTCAATATGGATGGATAAATGAGGCGCGACCTCTGGAATACTCTGTCTCAAAAGATCAGCAGTGCCATTGATAGGGTAGGGAAGAAGTCCCAGCTGATTCAAGTACAAATTAGGACTCCAGATTAAAGCTGAGCTTTTGAAAGGAGCCAGCTGAAGCCATGCACACAGTTCTGACAAAAGGGTACATCTCCTGCCTTTCTAGTCCCATCAAATCCCAGCTTTAACCTTCACTGAGACAATGCCTCACAAAGAGGAATGGGAAGATGCCCAAGGAAGAAACACAGAGGTGAATGCCTTCCCACGAGTTATGATGTTAATGTTGTCAGAATTACCCCACAAACCTTTATCAGGTGTTTGAACCACCTTATGAAGAAGACCACACAAACAACAGAGCACAAAACACTAAATTAAAACTTTCCAATCTTCTATTTCATCTTTACTACCAGGTATCAGGAGTTGGCTGTCAGACACAGCTGGGCCATTAAATGTGTCCTCTGTCATGGTGGTGGAGGAAAACACCATTATTCCTACATTATTCCATTTTCCTTCTCTTTCCTTCATCAGTGTGGCTCCATTTCTAAATGGAGATGGACAGTGGGAGAAGTGCGGTCACTCCTCCCTGCTGGCATCTTTAATTACTTGCAAACCTCTAAGACAAGACAGTTACTGTGGAATCCCCCCTACCCTACCTTCCCAGGACACTTCATGAGCTTTAGGCAGCTTTCCAGTAAGATCTTCCCCTTTTTATAACGAAATACGCTTGTGTCAGCAGCAACAGGCAGGAGGAAAGAGGAAGAAAACAGCTGTATGGAAAATAATAAAAAAAAATATTTCCTTTCTTATTTGAATGACAGAACTGATGAAGCAGTCATTTTCTGGAGTGTTTTGCTTCTTAGGAAAGCAGAAGAGGGAATCAAGGGACATAAATGCAACAGTTCGGATACTCAAATTTTGGAGAGGATGAAAGATAGACAGGAGTCTGAGTCAGTGGTGACTCTTGGGGCACAGCCTCATGGAAAACAATGATGCACTGTTCCCTTAGGCTCATAATATTATTTCTAAGTTTGAAGATGTTGGAGAGGAAGCAGTGAGAGGAAATATCTGCTCCGTGATGGTGCTTGGTGGGCCGAGAGTCAGTGAGGTGCACGGTGACTATGCCAGGGAAAGGGGGTGAAAACAGTCACCATTCTGATTAGGTGATGTTGTGAGCCTGGACTGTATCACACTTCGGGTACAAAGTAACAGAAAAGGAAGACTGGTGCTCTCACACAGCTCCAGAATTTAAGGAGACTTTTAAAGCAGAAGACATCTAGCTGTAGCTGAAAGAAGTTAAGAGCCAGGGTGCCTCTGTCCACACTGAGCTCTGTCTTGCAAAGGCTGGACTGTGCCCTCTCCCTGCACTCAAACACATGCCTGTGCACAAGCAGCCACTGCCCTCTCTGCTTAGCTGAGACATATCTGAGCTTCTGGATGCTGCAGTGTTTCCTTCCCTCTCTCACTCTGACACAAACGTCCCTTACTTGTCAAGTACTCATGTTTCTCTTATTCCACCGCAAAAGAATAAGCTAAGGAGTTTTTTTAAGGGCTAGTTTCATTCCCCTTATTTTCTCCCTTTATCTTTTCCTCCCAAACCATAACACAAATCCTTCTGCACGTCAAAATCTCAAGGAAGAAAGAAAAACACATTTGGATGTCAGTGTTCGGCTCCAACAATCCTGGGAGCCAGTTCTGGAAACAGCCATTATCTAATGAATCACCAAGTTTCCAGTGCATTTGCCCTTTACAAAACAGAGCTGTAGACACATGCTTGAGTCATTATAGTCATGTACCTCCCCAAGATGTTCTCAATAACACTTTAGCTGAACAGACCAGCACCTCCTGGACACACAAATGCTTCACATTTGTCCAAGGAAGACACTTTTCAGCATGAGGATGAAAAATCAAGCTCAGAGATCACATAACACAAGATCTACTGTTGCCCTGGGTGTTTTCCACCATCTCAGCTGCAGAACACCAGAGGCACAGGGATGCAGAGAGCACTCCCCTCATATCCCACCTGCCTCCATTCCTCCTCCAGCACAGCCTGGGACTGGCCTCAGAAAAACTTGCATGGTTCTCATCATCTGCTGCATCTTCCCCAACCTATACCAAGAGGTATACAAAACCAAATCAGGCTAACATATTTGCTGTCATGTTTGAGCCATCAAATCAGAGCCCTGAGGTAACGTTGCTGAAAAGCAGCTAGCACAAAATCTCTCTTTTCTCTCTTGATGGTCCCTGCAAGGCTCCTGCAAGGCAGCAGAGGCCTCTTGTGGAATCACAGCACTTCTATTGCAATCCAATTCAATGGCCATCCTAAACTATCAGAGAAGATTCATTAGACCCTTATTTTTCCTTACATCCCATTATAACCTTTCAAATGCTGCTTCTCTTTCTCCAAAAAGAGGGAACCTTTGGGGGAAAAAACTCTGAAAAAGAGTTATTTTTCCTGGATTAAATAAACTGCTCCAGAGGTGATTCAAAACATTTCATTTCTCTGTGAGTGGGTACTCATTACCTGATATTTTAACTGTTTCAGATCAAGCCAGACACCTCAGCGGTTATAGAAATCAACATAGTGTCTCAAAGTGAAGAGACCTAAATTCCCACTTATGCCAGCTGAAGATGTAAGCCTATGCCTCTGAACACACTACTGTATTGGATCCCATCTGCCTGGGACCCATAACTCCAAACAAACAAAAACTACCATTAGAGACACTTCTTCGTGTTTGTGCTCAAGTCACCTTAATGAATCCTGCAAGTCTAAAGGTTCATGAGGTTCTTATCTTATTTGTATGCTTATTAGTCATTTATGGCACTTTTATGAAAGGGTCTATACAAAAGCTTCCACCCAAAGTTCTGTCACTGAAGCATCTTTTCGGTGCTCTGTTTTTTTCTAAATTAACTCTTTCAGACTCACAGGCACCTTTCTTAGCACAGGTCTGTGCACTCCCCACAAGGCCCCTCTTTGTCATTCAAGACAAGATAACCCTTCCATAGCTCGGATCGATCCAAATGCCCCACACAGTTTCTGACTCTGTAGGCCAGTTCATTCCTCCAACAGCAGGACACAAGAAGGGCGATGGCAGAAGACAATGTAGTACGAATTAGTGTGAATTCTAGCCTACAGAAAATGGGATGTCTCACCATAGAGCCAGAGAACAGATCTACAAAGGCATCACACATTCTTCTAGATGCTGCTACTAAACACAAGAATGGAGATAAAGCAACCAAAAGAAAATCAGCAGAATTGAAACAAAATGGAAACAAAATGGAAAGTCACTGGGACGCTGCTGGGAAACGTACTTGAAACAAAGATATTTACCCTGTTGCAAAGCAACAATTTTATGAATTTTTTTAAATTTTTAAAATAAAATTCTCCCAGGAAACTTATGGACCTGTCCTGCCAGATGCTAATCTCCCACCACATGTACTGAAAATAGTAGAAGACAAAGATGCTGAGTATATTCCTTTCATATTGCTACTTTTGCATTCTGTGCTGAACATAAATAGAAATTTAATCTGATCTACAACTCAGGCAGCTCCCTTCAACCTTACTTTTAGTTCCTCAGTTTAGACTATACACATACCCACACGTAAGCAGAGAAGATAACTTCCAGTCCTAAAGTTTAATTATGGATGTTATTCTGCAGCTAACTAAATGTAAATGAAAAAAGGAGTTTTGGGGAGGACTATTTTGTAACACATAACTGTCCAAATATGAAGAACCATTCAATGAACATTTGAAAAAAGATTCACAGACTTACCTTCTGAGCCTGGCAGTCAGCTGTGGGAGTGAAGCATGCCGCTAAGAAGAAAAACAGCAACCCAGGAGGATGCATTTTCATACTTTTACAGGCAGGACCCTTTCCAAAAAAGGGGTGGTAATAGAGGCTGCAATTTCTGTAAGATAAGACCGCCTACTAAGAATCAGATCCAAGACAAACCAGAGGTTAAAAGTAAACAGGGAGACAGCATTTTTGCACTGTGCTCTTTGGCTGCAAAGCCTTCAGAAGTGGATCTGCTACTTCTAGCGTTATGTCTGAATCAATAGCACCTTTTTCTTTCTTTCTATTCTTTTTTTAAATGCACAAGTAGAACTCCTTAGTAAAAGGTTTACTCAAAACAGGAACATCTACGGATTTCCTCTTACATATCAGTTCAAAACAGAAGGAAGGAAATCCTTAGTTTTCAACTAATTGGTATGAAAAGAGGTTAACTGTATGCTTAACTGAAGGCAAATCCAATGGGTAAACTTAAATACCATGAATTCACAAAGGGTAAGTTAATTTCCTTTTACCACTCATGTTAATATGTCCACAACACCTCAAAAAGAAGGTAGAGCTGACCATTGCCTATCCCAAAGTATGTGTGAACAAAGCAACGTGAGTGACGTGCTGCACTTCAGAGCAATAATGTAAGCACATCGTATCAATCAATCAAGCACTTTGGGTCGGCTTTGATATTTATTTAAAATATTTGAGTTTCTCAGCAAGCAAAGCATCACATTTTGCAGGTGCTATAGCAGCAATGGCAAAATACATCATTTTCCAAACACTCTGCTGACAGTTTGATGAATCCAAGGAGCACTTCCATAGCACTCAGAATAGGAAAGTCCCAAAATGGGATTAAAAAAATACATGCTAGCCTGAGGTATGGTCTACAATTTATTTTCTCCTTTTGAACATTACAATCAATGAAGAATTGATCATCCACAGATTTTACATGGGCTTTGTCTCCCTATGCTGCCAAGAGAACCCACTGTACTAAGCAGTCTAAGGATTGTTTCTGTTAATAACAAATCCTACTGAGCAATGAGGGATCTTTTAATTTTTGAGCCATTGATAGTACATGAAGGTACCTAAATGGAACCAGGATAGGAAGCTATTCTTGTGTTTACATAAATGAGAGCATTAGTATTTTTTTGCTCCTTGCATAGACACAAAGATACACATGCTAACATATAAAGTATATAAGAACCACTGTACTTACAGTGCCGTTAATTGTGCTTTACCTCTTCCTCCATCCTACAGAGACAGCCAGCATGATGCACAGCCAGCACTATTATATATCCTGCACTAACAGGAAGCAGATAAGGCACACAACCATCCACTGCAAACCATGTGAGAATTACCAGCCCACAGCTCAATCTGACGACTCAGCCCACTTGTCCTGTTACAGGACAACTGCAGCCCTGGGACTATCGCTGCCCAGCAGACGGCCACTCTGTCAAGGTCAGAGGGTTCACACAGCTCTGGAAACCACTTGTTACACTGCAGATCCGTGAAATGAGGCAGAGGCAACATAGCCCAGACCAATTCCGGTGGGATGGCAGTTGCAGATGGACAGGGGGGACATTCTTGTAGAGAAGGACATTAGTATGGAAGCTGTATAATGCTTTCTTTACCTAGTCATGGTACTAGACTGGCCATGTAAACAGAAGAATGAGACTGCTTCTCTCCTCCATGCTACCTGTTAGGCATATACAGTTATAACAGGCAGTCTAGAAGGAGGTTGACTGTTTGTTGATGGGTTTTGCAAGAGCTGGCTATATAACATAGGGATTAAGTTGCCAGTACTGGGCATCCACAGGTAGTTGATAAGCTTTTAAGGTGAAAATAGCTTACCCTGAGGCACTTGAAGAGGCATGGGCACCTTTTAATGAATCTTCAGACCATTTTCTAAATGGTTCAACACTGAAAATTGTAGTGGGGAAAAAGGACACAGGAAGACTGATTCCAAGGGTTTTCACTGCTGCTTATCATCACTGTATCTGACCTACTACAAGGAAACTAAGAAGGGAAGGGAGAGAAAGTCTTGATGAAATTCGTGTCTGAATTAAGCAAATCCGATACACAGCAACATCAAAAGGTTCACAGACAGCTTCCTTATCTGCCCATACCTCATTTAAAGTCAAGCGACACAACAGCAATACACAGGCTAAAAATGCAACCATGAGTAGTGCCATTGTACGGACGCAGAGCACAACTGAAAAATCAGAAGGTCATCCGTCATCAGATGCTGCTTTCCTGATCAAGCGGCATAGGCAGTGTGTTTCAGCCACTGCCTACAAACTGCTCTGAGAGAACAGAAACTCACTTTGCTGATCACTGCTGCTGGATCTGGAACACCAAAATCTACATCAACTTTGGATCTGCATGAGTCTGGGAATTAATAAGAAGGTGAAGCATCAACCACCTCCAAATTAATGGGTGGCCAAGAGCCATTAATAATGCTCAGTGCACGCTGGAAAGATGCCAATGTGCTCACAGCGGCAGTCTAGTTGGCAGTATCACCAAAGATGGCAACACTGGCATGGAAACAGCACAGGGAGCAAAACTGGGTGAAAAAACCAGAAATTACTGTTCCACTTACACTGTTCCTGTTCTCTTCTGATAGACAGATTCCTCCTAAGCACATAGATGGATTTTCTCATGGATGACATCAATAAAAAGCTTATGTCTTAGAGGCAAAATGCATTGGACCAATTTTTTGATTCCACTGTTTTGTCCAACACCCTCCAAAATTGTCAATAAATAAAAAACCCAGTTCCTTCACTCATTTCTATATGAGACCAGTTCACATACATAGGCATCTGCACAAAGTATTTCAATCCCCCAAAGTCCCACAAAGGAAGATCCTGAGATCTGTCCAAGCGCTCAACGTCTGATTGCTTCTAAACTGTGCAGAATTTACAGATAAAATACCCAGTAGCACATAAAGAATGAAGCCATGGGACTTGCTCTGTCATTAGTAATTAAAGGAATATATGAGACAGGAAAACTGGGAAAAAACCCACCTTCATCAAAGGGAAGATTTATAGGCAAGATTTGTAAGGATCTGATGACAGAGCATGCAAATGGCTCTGTGCAGGCAGGGTGGAAGGGTTTCATTCATGTCCTAGTCAATGTTTGATTGAAACAGGATTGTGCAAATCCAATTTTAAAACATACAGTAGGACTTGTCAACTGTATGCCAGTGTGTTTATCTGTGAGGTTTAGCACATGGGCTTTTGTTTGTTTTGGAAAGCATGGAGGTTGACTTATCAGTCAAACGTCTCCCGCCCACACAGCAGAAGGCAGCTGGTTTAGCAGTTGTTGCAGACATGCGTCTCAGAAGCATCATCTTCAACTTCTGGCCCTGACACAGACAACTTCTACAAAACACGAATAATTTACCTTGCGGTCTCAGTCTCCCAAATCATCAGCAGATTGTTGGCAAGCAGCAGTGCTCAGGATTTTTTCCTCACTCAGTCTTTTTGCTTTATGGACTGGTGAAAGGTTGGGTCTAAAGTAACTTATCTAAGACCTAGCATTTCTTTTTGTGGACACATTAACATTCAGAGTTGAGAAACTGCTGGTGAAAACTACTCAACCTGTTCCATGGGGAAAAAAAAGTTGCCTGGCTAAAGGCAAAGGACATAGCTACGAACCCTTGCAGCCTTTCTACCTGTGTCACACGCTGCATTTTAAAATGCTGGGTGACCAGCCCTTCTCTGTGAAGTGTGTGCAGCCCTGGATAGTTTGGGCAATTTCCTGCTATTGAAATCTTTTGTTTAAGCAATCTTTACAGAAATTACAGAACCAAACCAAATGATTTACCATCCAGTCTACCCTGCCACACAGCTTCTGTGGAAGCTGACCATTTGGTGACATCAACAGAGAGAAATGGACTCTCGTTCCATTCTTCTGGGAAAGAACAGAAAGTCTCTTTGCTCTGAATTATAAGTGTGTAAGAAGGCTGTGAGTCTGAACAGGTATCAACAAAGGATTAAACAGACCAAGACAGAAGTGCTTGCGTGTAAGAAAAGGGCCAGTTGTACCATACCTACTGAACATACCGCTGAGGCTCTTGGTGAAGAGGCTAGGACGCAATCCTACTTTTTTGGTTTTTTTCTCTTGGCAAGTTGGAAGGAACAGGAATTTTAGTTCGCTGATAAAAGCAAAAAAAAATGGAAGGATTACACAGCAAATAGGAAACTGTTTATCTCTCTCCGCCACACATGCACACACGCAATGCTCCAATTCCAAGCAGACAGGTAGAGCTGGCCGAGCACAATGTCGTTGTGCGATTCAGGAAGAAATTATCATGGCTGCTCACATCCTGTTAGTTCAAAACCTTGAAGGGCAGCAGTACAAATGTCAGTACATAAATGTTGTAAGTCCTGGCCTATTTATTGCTATTGACTCCCAGTTCCTTTACACATGCTCCTGCAGTGAAAGCCAGCTACATATTCCCATTTCTTGGTTTTACTTTTGTACCTTTCCCATCTATAAAGCAGTGCTCTGGGATTGTACTGGAAGAGTCAGGCACTAAATACCCCACAGATATTCACTATGAATTAGAAGTCTGAGTAAAATTGTTTGAACAAACATGCTGAGCTATTGAAGCTCAGCACCTGCTCACATCAGCATGACCAAAGAGGCAACGTGTTTTCCCACGGTGGTGCTGCTTATCCTTCATGTACTTCTACCTAAGGGATAGAAAAGGCCTACAATATGCTTGACTAAAGCTATAGCAAACAGTTTGCCAAGGACTGCACTGAAGTGCCTGCCTGAGAACAGCATGCAGGAGATGAGTGTTGGGATCCCACTATCTCAGCATTTTCAACAACTTTAAAGATGCTGGAAGTTCTAATCATCCCCTCTCAGAGACTTTAAAGTCTGAAGCACGGGCCTTAGTGCTCAGCTTACCAACTCTGGCTGTTACTCTTTACGCATCTATTCAGATGGGTTTTCTCCAGCGTTGGACACAGTCTTTCTTTTGCACCTTCTTGGTCTAATGAGTTTCATATCCCCCCTTTTTCCACATCAACTTCTAGCTTTCCAAGTTACTGTTAGAGGAAACAGAAGTTTGTAGCCTGTCTGCTCTAAACCACAACTTCATGCTTTTCCTCATGTTGCTGCTTTTCTGCCAAAGATTTGGTATATTTGAAGATTAATACTACAGAAGCAAACTTTTTGATCAGAGACATTCAAGCAAGAAGAAGTGGCATTTTGTGTTACTTTTTTTTTAAAAAACCAACTCATTATCAAAGCTGACAAGAACAGGAAGACAAGTCAAAGAGGCTGATGTAAATACATCACTGTTCAGTACATCCACAGTCAGGCAGATCACAGAGTGCTGTAAGAGCAGCATGGGAATGGACACAGGACAGACAGGACGTAGGTGACGCTTTCATTTCTTTTTGCAAAGAAAACAGTTTAGCTCGGGTCAGCACCTCATTTACTTTCCTTCCTGATGAGATTAATTTACAATTTTTCAATTGTAATACAAGGGAAATTTTAAAACCTTTGGCCAGATGCTCAGCAGATGACACTGAACATAAATAATTGCATGGGTCTTTCTAGGGTGGCACACATCTACCTCAGCTGCAAAGCCAGACTACGGAAGTCTAAGATGGTTTAGAAGATACGTTCCTGAATAATGTCTCCCCACCTGCCTACAAATGCATCTGGTCATAACTTTAGCTACTCAGATACTGTCTTAATGTTGAACAAGGGTTGGAAACTGTAAAAGGTTTGAGTACAAGGGATTACTAAAGAAAGAGAACTATGCATGCAGGGCTTCACAGAACTCTTGCAGAAAGAAAGGAAGAAATCAGGACTCTTATGTGACCACAACCACTTACGAAGTGATTTCATTTTGCAGAACTTTCTGTAGAAAATAATTGTGGAAAGTTCTGAGAAATCTTTGAGATGAAACAATCAGCCCATTCATAATGTTCAAAATGAAGAATTGTGCATTTTCAATGAAAACTCCTTTAAATAAAACCCTATATTTACAAACAAAAGATTACATTAGAATTAGACAATAAAGACAACAAGCTCGTGCTCAGGAATAACAGTGAATGAGAGTTTTCTGCTTAACATTGCACTTAAATGAACGGAAATTTGCATCCACAAAACCCTAACTCCAGCACGTTTTAACATGGGCAAAAGAGGAGGAGATCAGGTATCTGGTGGCAGGAGAAAATGGCATTTCTTGTTTTGGGTTTGGTTATGGGGCTTTCTTCCAGTTGAAAATGAAAAAGAGCTAAAGTGTCATGGAAGACACTTTACTTTACATAGCTCATGCTTTACCTAGCAGTGTCCCATCCCACCTGGTGAGTGAGGTTAACTTTTAGATTCTCTGCACAGTAATCCAGAGTGGTGATTAGAAAGAAATCACTTTCTTCTGGTTGTGGTCCTCAGGTGGTGGGCATGCATGTGGCTCCTTGAAATTTCTCCTTTTATAGGTTTCAGCTCCATCGCAGGGGAGGGGATTTGCCCTGGCTGGCACATGCATAGTCTTTGCTTCAGAAAGT